CAATTAGGAGGAGTAATGAAGCAGGAGCCGGGTCTTCCACAAGCGCTGGAAGAGGGCAATGACTGAGAGCGTCGGCGTGGCCTATCGATTTTCCCGGGCAATGGACAAGCTGGTAGCTGTAAGCTGCCAGAAGGACAATCCATTGCAGCATGCGTGGCGAGATGACCGGTGGAGTTGGTCGATCACCGGCGAGGAGGCCCAGGAGCGGCTTGTGGTGATGAGGTTGAAGGTTCTCCTGTGGAACCTCTTTACTCCAGCCACAAGTGCCAGTGCCTCCTTGTTGAGCTGGCTGTAATTCCATTCAGCTGGAGACAGCATGCAGGAGAAGTAGGCAAGCGGTGCTTCCCTACCATCTGGAAACTGTTGACTGAGGACGGCGCCGATGCCAAAGGGCGAGGTGTTGCAGGCGAGGACCAGCGGCCTGGCTTCACTGTACTGTACCAGCACACTGTCTGATGAGAGGAGGGCTTTGACTGCGTCAAAAGCCACCATTTTTCGATGACCCCAGGACCACAGTACCTTCATGCTGAGGAGGCGGTGTAGAGGCTTGGCTAGCATTGCTTTGTGGGGCAGGAACATGTTGCAGAAGTTCAACAGCCCCAGGAACACCTGCAACTCTGCCTTGCTTTTTGGAATCAGGGCCTGCTGAATGGCTCGGATCTTGGATGCCGTCAGGTGAAGACCAGAAGCATCAATAAGGTAGCCCAGGAATTCCACCTGTGGAACAGCGATCTGGCACTTTCCCCCCCCCACCTTGAGCCTGACCTCCTGGAACCTGGTCAGCACGGTGCGGATGCGCTCAAACAGCTGCTGATTTGAGTCTGCGGATACCAACACATCATTGAAATGTGGTACCATGCCTGGAAGCCCCTGCAGGAGATGCTCCATGAGGCTTTGAAAGATGCCAGGAGCCACACTCACCCCGAACTGTAGCCGGCAGCACCGGAACGCCCCTCGGTGGGTGACGATCGTCTGAGCCTTGGCATAATCGTCGTCAACAGGCAGTTGTTGATAGGCTTGGCCAAGGTCCAGTTTAGCAAATACCTTGCCATCACCCAGGGAATGCAGCAGGTGGTGGACGACGGGAACCGGATAAGCGTGCTACTGAAGCTCCTTGTTGATTGTGGACTTGTAGTCTGCACATATTCTCACTGACCTGTCCGGCTTAACAGGTGTGACAATGGGGGTTTCTCACAATCAGCTCCAAAACGCCTTGTGCAATCAGCTTGTCAAATTGTTCATCCACCTTAGCTTTGGGAGAGAATGGAACCTGGTGTGACTTTAGCTTGATGGGGGCAACTTGCGGATCAAGGCTAAAGGAGATGGGAGTACCAGTATATTGGCCCAAAGTGCCGTCAAAAACCTTAGCAAAGTCTTTGATTAGGCCAACAACCTCCGCGTCGGAGATGCAGTTGATGCCGGTGACTTCCAGGCTGAGGGCATCAAACCAGTCTAGCCCTAGGAGGCTAGGCCACAGGCCTTCAACCACCACCAATCGGAGCAGGCTCGAAAAATTCTTGAAAGCGACCCTGAACTGGCTGATGCCTACCATGGGAATGTTGTTTCCCAGGTAGTCTCTCAGATATATGCAGTGTGGGTTGAGTTGCCTCTTGGACAGCTTGGGCACGAGTCTTTTGATGGTGCTCCAGGATATGACAGACAAGTCAGACCCGGTGTCAATCTCCATGTCACACGGAGCTCCTTCGATGAGCACGGTGACATGTAGCTTGCGAAGCGTAGGCAAATTGTATTGGCCAATCATGAATCCGGACAAGCAACGGCAGTTGGTGAGGGCGAAACAGCTTCTGTTGGTGGACCAGGGTGAATATTTGGACTTGGGAGATGGTGAAGGGGGCATGTTGGATGGAGCAGATTGGCAGGACTTAGCGATGTGGCCCCTTCTGGAGCATCACCGACAGATGGCGTCTCTGAATTGACACTTGATATGGAAACGATTGCCTCCACACCCAGCATATTCTGATTTGTCCTTGTACCTCTTTTTGAACTTCCTGCACTCCTGCTTCGTCTGGTATACTTCATTGTCTTTGCTGGGGGGTGCTACATTACTGCTGGTCTCCTCATGGTGCACTGGGATTAGCTTCTTATCAGGATGCAGGCTGCTGTCCTTGAAAATCTCCTGGGCGAAGAGTTCAGCAGCTTTTGAGGCCACAGCCTCCTCAATGGTCTTCTGCAGTGTGAGTTCTGGCTTGGTGAGAAGACGCCGTTGCAGACATTTGTTCCATACCCTGCAGACAATTTGATTTAAGTTCTAAGTCTCAGAACTCACAGTGCAGTGCGGCCTTTCGGAGGGTGGTGATGTAGCTGTTGATCGACTCCCCCTCTGCCTGGTCCTGGTGGTAGAACGCATTGCAACAGCAATTTTGTATGGCTTTGGAGTGTAGTGGTTTTTGAGCTTCTCTTTTAGCACGTCCCATGGCGCTGCCTGGACTGCTAGTGGCGCGACCAAAACTTGGGCTGTCCCGAACACCTTAGGCCCACAGAGGCTGAGGAATAGGCCCCGCTTATGCTCCTTTGACCTTTCCATCAGCTTGTTTGCTTGGAGGTAGCAGGTGAGCCGAGCAAGGTAGGAGTCCCATGATTCAGAAGCTGGGGCCAATGGCAGTAGAGGCACAAGTGAACCATTGTTCCGATGATGGATGGAACACAGTGCTCTAGCCAGTACAGTCAGCTCTTAATTAGGTTCTGTTCAGCGATTTCGCTCAGTGTTTCAGCTCAGTGATTCCTCTCAGTGAGTGTCCGAATCTGGCTGTGCTCTGATGTCCATCCGATCCCACCTTCGCTGCCATTATTAAGTTGTGGCTGGACATAGTAGTCGACACAGAGATTTCTCCAAGTGCTTCTTTATAGTAAGCTAGAACTGAACTGAACTGCAAACAGCTCAGCCGGTCTGCTTTTATAGGCAGCCAGTTGTCAACATTGTAACAGCAACAACCCAGGGTTTCCCACCTAAATTAATTTACGTGGACCTAAGTGAAAACTATATACAAAATACCCTAAGTGGCCAGGGTGAGAACTTCAATAAATAATAATAATAATAATAATAATAATAATAATACCAATACCATAACTTTTTATATTTTTACTTAGATGCCAATGGTGAAACAGCATTCCCCACCACCCAAACACTCCTTAGGATTACCACTAACAAATGTCAATAATTATTAAAGGTTTTAGTTCATTTTTGAATGGGCAAGGTGAATAATGCCAGTCCACATGGTTGAAGCCGGAAGGGATCTCAAATTCTACAGCAAGAGAGAAAACCACAGCAGAACACATTACAACTTCCCTGTCTTCTAAGAGACTTGATTTCCTTAGCTTCTCCAAAACCTAATGTCCAAGACTTAATGTTCAAAACTTAACATTTACTTACATGTACGCTTTTTGGATTAATGTCCCTTTGAGAAGGAGAATGATGAAAGAAAAGCACAGTGCCTTATTCTTCAAGAGATAAGGTGTTCCAGGGAGAGGAAGCACTGGGCAGTACATTAGCTGAAGGAACTTTTCAAGGTTCCCTGGATACAGAGATATATTGTATATTACTTATATTAAGGACCCTTAACCATGCCTGTCCCACCCCTCCTGACTGTATGTGGCAAAGCTAAAATTTCTGCCATGCACCTCACCATTTGAGTAAACTTATGGGATTTCACTCCTGTTGCTGTGATCCCAAAACGAGGATTTTAAATATTTTCATGCTTCTTCTTCATATGGAAAGTGTCCAGGGACACACAATAGCATCATAGTATGATGTACAGGAATCATGCTTTCCTGAGAGGAAGAAAAATCTTGGAAAAATTACTGAGGCAAGAAGGGGTCCATGGCTGCAGTCCATGCATATTCTTCAATTGGTAGGAAGAAGCACAAAATGAGGTGCAACTTTGGAGATTTCCTCCACTATTATCTGAAGAGAGCATTGCTGCTTTCCTTGTTGCCACAACTTGTATTCATTCTTTGGACTTAGCTTGTAATATTTGTAGTGCATTGTAGTCTTCTACTACTTTGTACATGCTTACATTGGCAGTCATTGTTGCTTTTAACAATAAACCAAATGAGGAAGGAAGAAGGTAAACCAATACCAGGTTGCCTTGTCATTGAATATACAGTATCAGCTCCATCTCCATCTCCATTTTCTAGAGCAGCAACAGGGGTCCTCTGAATACCACTTGTGGGTGTGGCACACTACTGTGGTTATGTCTTGTTGGTGGGCTTCCCATGTGCATCTGGTTGGCCACTGTCAGAACAAGATCTTGGATGAACCTTTGGTCTGATCCAACAAGGGTCTCCTTTTGAGAGCCAATGTGGTATAGTGGTTAAGAGCGGAAGACTCGTAATCTGGTGAACCGGGTTCACGTCTCCACTTCTCCACATGCAGCTGCTGGGTGACCTTGGGCTAGTCGCACTTCTTTGAAGTCTCTTAGCTCCACTAACCTCACAGAGTGTTTGTTGTGGGGGAGGAAGGGAAAGCAGAATGTTGGCCACTTTGAGACTCCTTCGGGTAGTGATAAAGCGGGATATCAAATCCAAACTCTTCTTCGTCTCCTTTTGGTCACATCTTCTTTCCAGTCATGGGAGCAGTGGTGCCAGAAAACCTGAGGACTGCCTCATCAAGCGAAAGTGCATGCCAAACTAATCCTGATATTTTGCCCAGTTCCCCCCGAATACTAAATGTGGCCTTATTCTTTAAAACAACAGCAACAAGGAAACCTTGTTTTAAGACAAAGAGACTCAAAGTGCTCACCATACTAATTTGTACATACTGTTCAGTTCATTTTACTACTTTTAGCCATGAACTATAGCAGCAGGAAACAGGAAGAAAAATACAATTTAATGAAAACACTAAAATTATTGAGCTGTCTTTTTGGTGCTCCAAGACTTCATGAGGAGTGCTGGACTTCCTGCTAACACATCAGTGCTTTTAGGATACCAAATCCTAGGGCTGACATGTAAGTGCTGTTTGCAGACCTATAAATCCGTGAGCAAGCAATCTTTTGGAAGACAGAGGAAATCGAGAGCACTCTTGGTCTCCCTTCTTTGGTTTCCAACTTGGCATTCCCAGTCAAACTTCAGCAATGCAGATCAGCATCTTTTACATCATTGCTCTTTCAGCAATGCTCTTAGCTTCTCCAGGTAAGGCATAGATCAAAATCAGAATATTCTGACATAATGTGAAAATTGGGATTCGTTAATTAGCATTGCCTTCTCCTTCACTTCTGCTAAAGACTTTTCCTTCAAGGCTAATATGAAAGCCATATGGCTTGATCTATGTTGTTCCCTCTTCTCTCTCTTTCTAAACCTCTCTTTTTCTCTCCTTCTGCATCTACTCTCAACACTTCCCTCCTTCATTCTTGTTCCCCTTGATCTATTGATCATGCTGTTGCCCTTCTCAGACTCTGCCCCATCATCCAATCCTGTTCACACCATCTCTTTGCTATGCTGCCTTTTCCAGATTTATGAGGGTGTGTGTAAATGCGTTTTGAACACGAGATAAGGATTTCCAATATAAAGGATTGTCTGATATTGATAAATATTTGGCTTTTGCTGCCGTATGAAGTGCAAAGTCTTATGTGACCAAATAAAATTCATTGGCAGAAAATATTGAAGAACAAACAAGGGGAATCAAGGAAAAGGTTTGCCCTGGAAGGTGATTGTGTGACCTGTGAGAGCCCTGAAATAACAGAGACAAGACACCAGACATGGGTTTAAAATCAGACCAAAACTTTATTGACTGCTGTAGGCAAGGCAGGATTGACATAGCTGTAGGGCAAGGTTCAGTTCTTCATTCCACTTAGCACTTACTGATATGGTACAAGCTGTTGGGAAGTACTAAGCCCCTTCCTGGATGTCACCCCGCATTGAAACCTTGAATACTGCAAGCCAAGCAGCCAAGCCAAGTGAGGATTTCAGACCAGAAAACCGGGAGAGTCAGAAAGGATAGAGGAGGAACTGGAGAAGGAATGGGAAGAGTGGGAGAAGGAAAGCTTTCCTGCATCCCTGAAGAAACTGTCCCAGGGATGAGGAGGTGTCACTGCTGTGGCCAAGGAGGCAGGAAGGTGAAGGCAGCAGCCAGAGACAAATCTGCTACCCCTTCCAGATTGCCACTTGAGGCAACTGCTTCTCCAGAGGATTGGCCCTGTTCACTGGAGGAAACATGTAATCCATTACGTTCCAGTGTCATTCCCAAAGTGGAAAGCTCAGTGCAGACATAGTAACACCATATGAATGCTGAATTTAAATCATCTGAAAATTCAGAAGGGCAATACATGTTGAGCTCTGGTATTCTTATGCGAGGGTTAAAAGGTAGTCCACTGAAGGTCAAAGAAGCAGTTGCAATGGCGGGTGATAATGGGGTCAGGAATGGCAGAATATGGAAATGCCTTCATACAATAAAATAAAATTTCTCTATCTAGGATTTGTCCATGCAGGGGAACCTCGTCAATGTGAGGCTATTGGTGGGACTTGTGGGACTGAATGTGAGAGGATCGTACGGAGCGCAGTTTGTCCTGGAGAGACCATATGCTGCGTACCGTAAGTTTCCTTCCTGGTTTTTCAAATCCATGGAACTCAAATGGAACATGTATTGATAAAATAAAATGCTTAAAGCAAATTAACCTCAAAATTTAAAACGACCTGATTTCTTTCTTTCTCTCTCTCATGTTTAAATTTATGCCCATTGATTAATTATTCATCTTTATTGCGGTCCAAAGACCCATAACAGAGATTCAGAATACAGATTCACACAGACAACCCCCTGGGAGAGGAAGACCAAGACAATATTTGTTTAGTCTTAAGTATGATGGTCTTTGATATGTATGACTACCAAAAGAAACTTTGCCACGGCCACTGTGATATCATTAGACTTGTCGTCCAGAAGATATTTTGTATAGTAGGCTTCAGATTTACCTGGCCGATGTGCCAGTAGGCGTTTAACGTTGATTATCTGCTCCCAGTTAGTGGGCAACATTTATTTCATATCCTTTTTCAATTGCATTTTTTTTCAATACAAAACTTTGTAAAGCTTAGAAGGGACTGCTCAACGTATGTGTTATGTTATTTTTACACTCACTTTCATTAATATACATTTTCTCTTCAACTTGATGTCTCACCAAGAGTTTTCTAATATGGTTGCAACAAAACTTAAAATACCACCATATACTTCCCATTTCCCCAAGCAGTAAGAATCATGTATGATTTGGGCCATTTTTAAAACATTTGCTTTATTTACAATTAATGAAGTGCAAACCATCCGAAACCTTGTGCCCTTTAGATGTTTCGGATTACAAGTTCCCATATCCCTGTCCATATTGATTGGGGATCACAGGTATTGTAGTCCAAGACAACTTAGATATGAGTCAATGTTTAGACACCTTTAGAAAAAGAATAAGAAAATGAGCTTTTTTATGATTACCTGGAGGAGTTGGGGTGGGTGGGTGAATGCGAATAAGTGGAAAACTTAGTTTAATGCTATTAATTATATTTCCTAGCCCCTAACATCAACATTAAACTATGTTTTTAGCAACACACACACAATGCACATACCCTCAAACATTTCTCTGATGGAAATGGAAATGTCCTATTCCATCATCATAATAATTATATTATTTATACCCCGCTCATCTGACTTGGTTGCTCTTGCCACTCTGGGCAGCTTCCAACATACATAAAAATGTAATAAAACGTAAAACATTTTAAAACTACTCTATACTGGGCTAAACTACTCTATACTAAAGGATGTATAGTTACTTATGTCCTTGACTCGTGGGTCACATAACTCCATACCTTCCAATGAAAATAGGGACATTATACCATGCCCTCCAACATGTCTCCAATAAAAATAGGGATGTCCTCCGAAAAAGTGGGACATAGCGGGATCAAATCTGAAACTGTGAATTTGGGACTGTCCCTAGAAATGAGGGACACATGGAGGGTCTGCAGTACATTGAGGCCATGTGTGGTGAGATGTTTTTAAAAAACCAAGATCCATCTTTCCTTTTGAGCATCCATCCAAGGGCCCCATCCCATTGGTGCATGGAACCAGAGACAAATGTGGGTGTGGCAACGAGAATAATTCTGACTTTTGTATGCATGCATGCATGCATCTCCCTATCTTCCTTCCAAGCAAGAGGAAGGGATTAGTTCAAGGACACGTTCCTGGCAGGCAAAGTAGATCCAGTATTTTGTGTTACTTTGAGAGAGAATGTGTAGATCGAGCTGCCAAGGGTCAGATGGAGAGGTCTGGAAGGCCACATTCAGACCCTGGTGTTGAGTTTCTCCCCCAGCCCCCACCCCAGTTCAGCCTACAGAAATGTGTCTGTGTGTGTACTCTCTCTATTAACACTTAAACCTGTGAATCACTAAAGAAATCTCTTTCCTTTATTCAGAAATCCTTCCGATTAAAATGGAAAGAAACACCTGCTTCTTTCAGCAACGGATATAACCCAAAGAATGAGATTGACGTGCTGCTGATTTGGCCTGCGGAAATACTTCCATGATGTGGGAAATTTGAGAAAATTTGTGTACTATTATGAATAAATATTTGATATGTTGCTGGAAAATGTGTGTTGGTTTATGCCTTTCTGAGACATGGATACCCATTGTGGACAATTTGCAAAGCTACAGAAATCTTTTTATTTCTAAAGTTCAGGTCGTCCATGCCTGTTCTTTACATGTATACCACAAATTGTTGTTTTTTTGTTGTTGTTTTTTTAAAAATAATATTTATTCCAAATTTAAAATCACAGAAACAAAGAAAAACCATACAGAGTAACAGAGCAAAAAATAAAAAAGTAAAAAGAACAATGAGATAGAATAAAAAAGAAAACTTAACAAAAATATAAAAATGTATTAAGTTAATAATAGAACAAAAACAGATTAAACCTTTACATATCCTTTTCCCTTTACTTATTTCCAATGACCTCCTCTCACCTCCCAATTTTGTATTCTTGTTCAGATCGTATTTCCACCAAATCCCTCTAATCTTATTTTCATTTACGTATTTTAAAATTGAAATGATATAATTAAACCTCCTCTATTTCATCAAATTCATCAACTCATTTTTGCTTAGACCATTATATCATATCTACCAAAACGCCCTAATATTTCTTTTTCCAACCTCCTTCTAACATTCTTTTATATTGCAATACTTTTGAAGATATATTTTGAATTTTTTCCAATCTTCTTCCATCGACCCTTCTCCCTGGTCTCGAATTCTGCCGGTCATCTCAGCCAGTTCCATATAGTCCATCACTTTCATTTGCCATTCTTCTCGGGTGGGCAGTTCTTGTGTCTTCCAGTACTTCCCGATGAGTATTCTTGCTGCTGTTGTAGCATACATAAAGAAAGTTCTATCCTCCCTTCGCACCAATTGGCCGACAATGCCCAGAAGAAAGGCCTCTGGTTTCTTCAGAAAGGTATACTTAAATACCTTTTTCAGTTCATTATATATCATTTCCCAGAAAGCCTTAATCCTTGGGCATGTCCACCAAAGGTGAAAAAATGTACCCTCCGTCTCTTTACATTTCCAACATTTACTATCTGGCAAATGATAGATTTTTGCTAGCTTGACTGGGGTTAAGTACCACCTGTAAATCATTTTCATTATATTTTCTCTTAAGGCATTACAAGCCGTAAATTTCATCCCTGTGGTCCATAACTGTTCCCAGTCAGCAAACATAATATTATGTCCAAAATCTTGTGCCCATTTAATCATAACGGATTTAACCGTTTCATCCTGTGTATTCCATTTCAACAGCAAGTTATACATTCTTGATAAATTCTTGGTTTTAGGGTCTAACAATTCTGTTTCCAATTTTGATTTTTCCTCCTGGAAACCAATCTTTTTGTCTAAATTATAAGCCTCCCTTATTTGATAATAATGAAGCCAGTCTCGGACTTTAGTTTTTAATTTATCAAAACTCTGCAGCTTTAGTTTATCTCCCTCTTGTTCCAAAATTTCACAATATTTTGGCCAATTTGTCTCCATATTGGTTTTTTTCAGAGCCTTAGCCTCCATTGGTGACAGCCACCTTGGTGTTTTGTTTTCCAACAAATCCTTGTATCTTACCCAGACATTAAACAATGCTTTCCTGACAATATGGTTCTTAAAGGCCTTATGTGCTTTAACCTTGTCATACCATAAATATGCATGCCATCCAAAGACATTGTCAAAACCTTCTAAGTCCAAAATGTCCGTGTTTTCAAGAAGCAGCCAATCTTTCAGCCAGCAAAATGCGGCTGATTCATAATAAAGTTTAAGGTCTGGCAGGGCAAATCCACCTCTTTCTTTAGCATCAGTTAAAATCTTAAATTTTATTCTTGGCTTCTTGCCCTGCCAGACAAATCTCGAAATATCTCTCTGCCATTTCTTGAAACAGTCCATCTTATCCAAAATCTGCAATGTTTGAAACAAAAACAACATCCTAGGCAATACATTCATCTTTATCACAGCAATTCGCCCAACAATGATAACTTCAATTTTGACCATATTTCCAAATCCTTCTTTACTTCTATCCAACATTTTTCATAATTATCTTTAAATAAATTCACATTTTTAGCAGTCATGTGAACCCCTAGATATTTCACTTTCTTAACCAATGTTAATCCTGTCTCCTTCTGAAACCTCTCTTTCTCAATCTCTGTAAGATTTTTCTCTAACACCTTGGTTTTCACCTTATTCAATTTAAAACCTGCTACTTGACCAAATTCTTGGATTAATTGCAATACTCTTTTTGTACTGGATTCTGGCTCCTGTAGTGTCAAAACCAAATCATCAGCAAAAGCTTTCAGTTTATACTGTTTAGCTCCGAGTTGTATACCTTTAACCAATTGGTCTTTCCTGATCATATTAAGCAAAACCTCCAGGACCGATATAAAAAGCAATGGGGAGATTGGGGAACCCTGTCTTGTTCCTTTCTCAATCTTAAACTCTTCTGTAACTACATTATTTACGATCAGCTTAGCTTTCTGTTCCGAATAAATTGCACCTATACCGTTTTCAAAACTTTGGCCTACTCCCATTCCCTGTAAATTTTTCTTCATAAAACTCCAAGAAATATTATCAAAGGTTTTCTCCGCATCCACAAATATTAGAACTGCTTTGGTATTAATATTGACTTGTAGTTTTTCTAAAATATTAATGATATTCCTCGTATTGTCTGACAAATGCCTCCCCGGGAGAAAGCCCGCTTGGTCCTTATGGATTTCTTTCACCAATACATTTTTTTAATCTTTTAGCCATAATTTCTGCAAAAATTTTGTAATCCACATTAAGTAGGGATATGGGACGGTAGTTCTTAAGCTGTGTCTTTTCCACTTCTGTTTTCGGTATGAGTGTAATTTAGGCTTCTTTCCACGACTCGGGTGCCTTTCCCCCCCCCTAATATTTCATTGCAAACTTCTTTCAAAGGCTGCATTAACCATTCTTTCAGAGATTTATAATACTTTGCAGTCAAACCATCTGGCCCTGGAGATTTGCCCAATTTCATGTCCTGAATGGCTCCTTCCACCTCTTGATCAGATATTGTGGAATTTAGCATCGATTTACTCTCTTGAGAGATTTTTTGTAATCCATTTGTTCTCAAAAATTGATCAATGTCTATTTCTTTCTGAGTCTCCTGCATGTATAACTGTTTAAAGTATTTCTGAAAACACTTTCTAATATCCACAGGGTTCTGTATACTCTTTCCTTCTACTACCAAGTTCGTAATAGTGTTAAACTTTTGTCTTTTTTTATTTGCCATGCCAGCAATTTCCCACACTTATTCGCTGATTCAAATGTCCTTTGTCTCATCTGTTTGATCTTCCATTCTATTTCCTGATTCGTTAATTTCATATATTGTACTTGATGTAACTTTATCTCTTTTAAAATCTCCTGTGAATTCGGTTTTACCCTCAATCTCTTTTCTCCATCCTTTATTTTCTCCAAAAATTTTTCTCTCTTCTCGTTTTGAACTCTTTTCCTAATTGCATTTTGTTGTATCGAGAACCCTCTCATCACTGCTTTGCTTGCGTCCCAAATCACTCTTTTCTCGGTCGTAGTGTTCATGTTTATCTCAAAGTAGTCTCTCAAGTTTTTCTGGGCCTTTTTAATGATTTCTTCATTCCTAAACAAGGAGTCATTCATCCTCCATCTGAAAGCTCCAATTGGCGTTAATGCCATTTCCATCTTTACTGGGTTGTGATCAGAGCAAGTTTTAGGGCCAATTACCGCTTTTTTTATCTTCGGGGCCAGTCCCCTAGTTATCCAAATTTGGTCTATTCTTGTCCATGTCATTTTGGCTTCAGAGAAGAAGGTTCCTTCTCTTTCCAAGGGGTTCTTTATTCTCCAAATATCTACAAGGTCCATATTATCAGTCATTTCAAAAAATGTCTTTGGTAGTCTGCCATCTTTCGTCACCGTTTGTCTTTGGGCTTTATCCATATTTGTGGACACTACTCCATTCATATCTCCCATCAAAATTATATTGTAATCCAGATAGTCCAATAGGATTTCATGCAATTTTTTAAAGAATTCTGATTTTCCTTCATTTGGCGCATAGATGCCTAATGTCAAAAACTTCTGACCATGGAGTTGTATTTCAATTGCAATAAATCTTCCTTGGTCATCTTTAAATAAAAATTTTGGTGACAGGCTTTCCTTTGCGTAAAGTACTACTCCTCTTTTTTTTACATTGTCTGATGAAATAAATTCTTCTCCTAGTCTTTTATTAATCAAAATTTTCCGATGTAGCCTTGTCACATGCGTTTCTTGTAAACAAATCAAGTCCAAATGTTCTTTTTTTAATATATGAAATACTCTCCCCCTTTTTTCCTGGGAGTTCAAACCATTAATATTCCAGCTTAGTACTTGCAGTGTCATATTGTACTTACTCTCCTTCTCCCCCAACAGCTCCCAGAAGTTTGTCTATATCTGTCGGTGGCGTTATTTTCCCTTTTTTTTGTAGACTCTTGTCCAGTGCGGCAGGCTCTTTTCCCAGTCCTTTCTGTAGATCTTCTTCGTATGTACTCAGAAACTTATTTTTTTCCTCCACTGATCCTATCTTTATCTTTCTTCCTTTGAAGCTAAAAGATAGGCCTTGAGGGAATTCCCACCTGAAAAGAATCTTACTTTTTCTCAACAGGGCCACCAAGTCTCCAAAGTCTTGTCTTAAATCCAAAAGATGTTTCGGTATGTCTTTAAAAATTTCCACTTTTGATTGCAGAATTGTCAAAGGTTTCTCGTAGTGCAAACCTAAAATTTTATCCCTCTCTTCTTTAGATCGGAGGGTAATCAAACAATCCCTTATTTTAATCTTTTTTCCTCCTTTTCCCAATCTAAAGGCCCTCACAATCTTAAAATCTTCTTGTTTCAAATCCGATTTCCAAAATTCTGCAAATTCTTGTGTCAGAAAATCTATCAAGGTGCCCGTCTCCAGCTCAGGAACAGCTCTAATTCTTAGATTGGTTTGTTTCTCTCTGAGTTCAATCATAGACAGCGTCAACTTATGATCTGCAATTTCTTTCTGTAGGCCAGGTACCTTCTCAGTTTCCAGCTGCCCTACTTTAAATTCCACAGCAGCAGTTTTTTCCTGTGTAGACTTCGACTCCTGCAATAGTCTCTGAATGGATTCTGTGTTGCTGTTCACCTTTTTCCCCAAGTTGTCTAATGTTTCTGTATTTAAATCAATTTTTTTATTTGCAGTATCAACTTTCTTATTCGTTTCTTCAACCTTTTTATTCGTCTCATCAACCTTTGTACTAAGTTGTAATAAAGTTTCATTAATCCTGGCCAGAGCACTGGCTAGAACTTCTTCTGCCATTCCACTGGACTTAACTTGTGTTGCTGTCGTAGGCAAACCAGCAGATGATTGCCTTCGATGCCCCCAGGCTTTCCCAGACCTCAAAACTGACGCGTCTAATTTCTCTCTGCCATCTGCCATAACAATGTAAAAGTCAAGGCCGCTCTCAGATATGCTGTTCCTGTTTACCAGTGGAAAATTCCCTTGTTGCAATTTCAAAAAGTCCCCCTAGGTGGACACTGTTACAACAGTCCAAAGCAGTCACTTTCCCTTTTAAAGTAACAACAAGAAGAAAAAACAAACTGTAGACAAAGAAGAAGAAACAGTTCCAAAAAGTAGCCTTCCAATTATTTTTCCAACGAAGCTGGCCACAATATATTCACCTTGCTGTCAGCAGATCTCTTTGACAGTTTTTGACAGCTGAGACATCTCACTGGCAGATTATTCTTTAAGCAACTTTACGCAGTCCAAAAACAAACCCCTTCCTTTCCTACTTTCAGAAGGGTAGATTCAAAAAGAATTCTCAGGTCGGAAGGCAGCTCTTTTCAAGTTAAAATTCAGCGTTTTAGCTCAAAGTCTCTATGCTTTACACTATTTACAAGACGGGAAGTGGACTTCCTGTATACACCTCCCGCCGCGGTAGCCAATTCAATCCTTATTTGCGTTCCAATTCAAAGTCTTTTTCCTTTTAAAAATTTAGTCCAATTCGGAATCTTTTAAGTCCAATTCCACCTACTCACGGTTAGTCTTTTAATCCGAGTGTTCCAGGAAAGAAATCAGCGCTCTCTAGCAACGGCAACACGGCTTCGCTCCACGAAAGCAGCAGTCAATTCACAGCACCGCGCCTCTCCCCCGTTCCGCTCCGAAGCCTCAAAAAAAGGCTTCCTCGCGAGTTGGGGGGGGGCGCTGAAGGGTGCCCGCCGAGTCTCCACGTTCGCAGGCTTCACCGCCTGCGATTTCTGGGGGTCCCCGCTCCGCCGCAGCGCTCAGGACCCGATTTTCGCGGAGCCGATTCCCTCCGTTACAGAGGGAATCCTCCGTTCGCTAATGGCGCTGACCGGAAGTGCTCGCTTCGGCAGCACATATACTAAAATTGGAACGATACAGAGAAGATTAGCATGTATACCACAAATTGTGCTCAGGTTAAATAACACTTTTCTGCCAAGACTCACCATTACTGCCAGTTTGGTTTTAATGTCATTTGGCCTGCAACAATAAACACATTTCACCAAGGTATAAGGAAGAACCTCCCGATGGGATGACCTGGTTGACAGTGCAAAAGACTGAAGATGTTAGGTCGACCATGATTCGTTACTTTGAGGAAGAGACTGAATGAATGGCTACGTATCACAGATGGTATATTAGTTGATTTCCTGCCTTGACAGGTTGCTGCTCTGCATGAGCTTTCATGTTCTTTGCAATTCTCTGAATCTACTGTTCATTCTACCCATGAATCCCAGGTGAATGGGAACTGCCTGAATGGAGGTGTAGAACTGACCTTTGAGGAGGTCATCCATTCATCAAGTTTGTAGCTACATATAACACAGATAGAAACTAATTGACTGAAGTCCAGTAGAGTAATCCACATGCATTAAGTCAATGTACTCTATCTATGTGCTTGTTGAGAGTGTGAACAAGCATTTAGATCAGCCTTTCTCAACCTTGGGTCCCCAGATGTTTTTGGCCTACAACTCCCATCATCCCTGACCATTGGTCCTGTGAGCTAGGGATCATGGGAGTTGTAGGCCAAAAACATCTGGGGACCCAAGGTTGAGAACCACTGATTTAGATAGAGGTGATCCCATTAACATAGTGTACTTGGACTTTCAAGTTGCTTTTCACAGAGGAACCCACCAAATACACTGAGTAAGCTTCACACTCAAGAAATATGAGGAGGTGTCCTCTCGTGAATCAGGAATTGGTTAAGCTGCAGGAAGCAAAGAGTAAGAATAAATGGACAGTTCTCTGAATTAAGAGAAGTAAAAAGTGCAGTCTCCAGTGGTTGGTATTGAGACTCATGATTTTAAATTGTTCATAAACAATGCAGAGTTAGGAATGAGCAGGAAGAGTGCAGTCTGAGTACAGTCTTGGGAGAATACAACATTAATGTACCGTATTGTAGTTCCTCTTTTGGGCACATCATGCATTTTAAAGGAATAATGCAATAAGCATTGGTGCCAAAATGCATGTTGCATCATGAACATAATGTGTATATATGAAACCTAAGCATGGAAATCCTATAAATGGAAGAGTCTTCAGCTTTTCAGATGACACTCTAACTTGACTGTACACTGAAGCGTTGATCATGCAAAACTGCTCTCTTTTCATAGCTGCCCTTTCACTGATGCTCCTGGTATCTTCAGGTAAGTCATACATCAAAATTACAATTAGACATAAGTTATGGAACTAAAGAATAAGAGGACTAGTGGGATAAAGGGAAACACAGGGACCAATTAAACTCAGCACCTTGTTTTTCACTGTGCTCAATTAGAAACCAGGAAGCAGGTCATTAAACTTTGCAAATAGTGTTCAGTTGCAGGGGGTGTTTTTGGAAAGGGGGAATAAAATAAACAATGAATTCTTTAGGGTCTTTTGCGTTCATTCCATATGGTCTCAATTTGCCTAAGAATTTAATTTTTAACTGCTATTGATTTTCTTTTCTTTTTCTTGATAATATTTTTTATTAGTTTTCAATTACAATCCAATAATAACCTCATTATACCAATTTATAATAAAATTGTTAATACCAATCATTCAAATACTGAATTATATACCAGGGAGAAGAATCTGTGGAAGAAGATTGGAAAAAGTTTAAAGACCACTTACAGAAATACTGTAAAATTAATGAATGTTAGAAAAATGTTGGAATGAAGTTATATGGCTTTAGTAGAAATGTTATAAGGAATTAGGTATAGATAGATTAATAGGGTATTAAAGGGAAAAATAAGGTTAGAATGTGTTAAGATAATTATAGGATAGAAAATAGAGGAAGATGGAGAGGAATTGCTGAAACAATTAATAGAAGTGGAAGACAAAAAGGGAGGTGTGAGGAGGTCGTGGAAACATGTGAATGAAAGATAAGATATTGAAATTGGATTGTGTTTTGAATGGTTTTTGTTTTGTTAATTGTTTGTGTTAGTGTTGTGTAGTGTTTTTTGTATGGTATTGTATTGTTGTATTGTTTTTCTTTGGTTTTTTGTAGTGTGTTTAAATTGTTGAAAATTAATAAATATTATTTTAAAAAAACAACAAATACTGAATTATATAATTTTGATAAGGTGGCCCCCCGCATGCTAGAATTGAAGGTTTGGGGATTTTCTTTATTTCTGCATTCCAAAATCTTATTAATTTAAATTACATTCTGGTCATTATCAATAATCCCTTATACAACAACTGCAATATTATTAACTTCTATTTGTGTTGACACATTAAATGATTTACAAAACTATAAGTAAGGCACTCAAACTATATGCTTGTTCTTCCTGTGTGTGGGAATTATTCTGCCTGTGGTGTTACTTCCTGTCCTTGTAAAATGTTATGTCTATTTCCCCCCTGTTGTTGCTGTTATCTGTCATGCCTTGGGCAGAGCTGATATCTCATTGTTGTTCCAGAAATTTCTCCCCCACTCTGTCCTGTGCTTCAATGTTTTGCAACTTTAGACCTGGTGTTCACCTCTATGGATGTGGGTGATCTGACTCTAAGTAAAACTGAAACAAAAGAAGTGCCATGGTGAGATCACTTCCTGGTTGTTTGTATTGCAATAAATCTTCAACCCAAATACGACTTGCGTGCCATGTTATCAAGACGGCAGCCTGGGCTCTTGACACTGAGGACTGCCAGGAAACTGACCTGCCCATTATCCCAAAGTGCATAGCAATCTAAGCCAGAGATTTTTCCCAGTGGGAGGTTTTTGCAGTGCTGTGGTACTAAATGTGGCCTCGTTCTTTAAAATAACAAAAACCAAATAGCAACCTGTTTTAAGACAAAGAGGCACAAAGTGCTCAATGTACTAATCTGCATGCACTCCCACTGCCATATGTGCCTGAGAGTCATGAACACATCTGCTCCAAGTAGAGAAACACAGCATGAGTACTAACTCAGACAGCCGGGAGCTGTTCTCCTCCCCCTCTCTCTGACACAGAATGGAATGTTGATAAGGCGTTATCAGAGAGTGGGGGGATGAAAAGTCAGCTCGCTCAAGCACAGGCAGACTTGGAAAACAGGAGGAATAGCATTTCCTCACTGGAAGAGGAGGCAGTTAATCATCTGAACCCAAAGACTAGATGTATAGGGAAGGTATTAGACAGGAAGCAAACCCAGAAAGGTAAGGGCTATAGGTTCAGGATGTTCTGCAGAACGAGGAAGCATTCTTCAGAAGGGTCAACTGATACTAAATGTGGCCTCATTCTTTAAAATAACAAAAACCAAATAGCAACTTGTTTTGCGATTAGTCCAGAGGGCTCACTGTACTAATCTGCATGCACTCTTCAGTTCAGTTCATTAGTTTTAGCAATGGACCATAGCGGCCAGAAAGTGGAAAGAAAATACAGGCAATTAATTTTTTTAATATAGACATTGAAAAGAATTAAAATCATGTTTCCATCTGGCTGGACTCTGAATGTACAAGCTACTGTATTTTACTTCTTTTTCATGCTCCAAGACTTCATGAGGAGCAGTGGACCAAAACTTTCCTGCTGGATGTTCAGTCAAATTTGCTCATTTGTATATATTCATTTGAGAAATTGTCAAAATTAATAAACTACAGGTCATGGGCATTTTTGTGACATGAAAGTTTGTTGCTTATGGAGTGTCCCCCGAATACGTGTGTATGTGTCTGTGTACTGTCTCTTTGTATTAACACATAAACCCGGTAAAGACTGAATATATATTTTTCTTTTGCAGATTTCATTAAGGGTAAGGTGGAGAGTAACTTTTGCTTATTTCAGCAACTGATATTACCCAGATTAATAGATTGGTCTGCTGTTGTTTGGCTTCCAGAAAATACTTCAGTGGAATTGAATTTTTTGAAACATCAACAACAACAACCCTGTATACTATTTTGAATAAAATATAATAAGTTGCTGGAAAATGTGTGTGGGTTTGTGTTCTTGTGAGATGTGAATCCACTGTTGCGGAGGATTTGCAAACTTCCAGAAAGCTTTTTATTTGTAAAGTAAAGGAAACCATCAGGTCCTCCATGTTGGTTCTCTATGGGTATACCAAAAATTCTGAACAAGTTTTCTGCCAAGACCCCCCCAAAGTGGTTTAAATGCCATTTGGCTATCGGATGGCCAAAAGCCACCACTTCATCTATATTAACACATTTCTCTGAGGTATTATAAAAAACTTCTCAGTGGGATGCTGTCATTGACTGGGTGACAGACTGTCCCTGTTGATGATTGGCAATCCGTGATTAGTGGGTTTGGTGCAGGGGCTGAATGGATGGTATATGAGTGGATTTCCTGCCTTTCGGGATTTGAGGTTCCTTAGAATTCTCTGATTCTGCTGGAGATGCTACCCATGAATTCTAGATGGATGGGAACTGCCTGAAAGGAGGTGCAGAACTGCCCTTAGAAGAGGCCATCTATTTAGCAGGCTTGTAACTATATATAACAAAGATACTAGCTCACTTACTTCCTGTAACATAATCCAGGTGGCTAGGAGCCCAACATTCAGGTTGTAAATGTGGTTCATCACCCAGCCTTTCCCTTTAATGTGAAATTGGGTTTTTCATGACTCACCCCTCCACCCTTGAGAGGTCAGAGGGCTGTGTACAGGTTACAAGCTTTGACTGGTACCTGTTCATATGAAAATTTGCTATGGAAAGCTACCCTATCTGTGTAAAACCTTCTCTGCATTCTCGTTCCAACTCCAGTAGTTATTCAGGAGCAAATTATATCACTTAAGAACAAAGTTATGCTTCCCCCATTTGCATTCATTACTATGGGTTTTGGTGGCACCTGCCCTGTGGAATGCTTCCCATCAGATGTCAAGGAAATAAACAACTATCTGACTTCTAGAAGACATCTGAGGACAGATGTTTAAGTCTGATGTTTTATCATGTTTCTAATATTCTGTTGGGAGCCACCCAGAGTGGCTGGGGAGGCCCAGCCAGATGGTATAAATTGTTGTTGTTGTTGTTGTTGTTGTTGTTTTGTTG